ATATATGTATGTGTGTACAGACTCTTTCCAAAAAAATTTGAATATCATGGAAAAGTTGTTTAACTTTCATAATTCCATTCAAAAAGTTAATATTTAATAGATGATAGATTCAGGGCCCACAATTTAAATGATTTATTTAGTATTTATTTGTTTAGTTTTACATAATTTGAGCTTCCAGCTCATGAAACCCACAAAAACAGGATTTCAAAAAATTAGAATACTGTTAAAAAATCAGCCCACACTTCTCAGTTTTTGCAGAAAAAAAAAAAGAAAGAAATTAGGATCACAACAAATCAATTAAAATATGGTACTTTCAAAACAATATGTCAGTCTTCAATACTTGGTTGGGAATCCCTTTGCCTTAATCACTGCCTCGATGCGACGTGGCATTGAGGCAATCAGCCTGCGGCATTGACTGGGAGTTATGGAAGCCCAGATTTCCTTGATGCTGTCAGCTCTTCTTTGTTGTTGGGTCTGGTGCTCCTCATTTTCCTCTTGAGAATACTCCATAGATTCTCAATGGAGTTTAGGTCCGGCGAGTTGGCTGGCCAGTCAAGCACGGTGGCATGGGCATCAAACCAGGTTTTGGTGCTTCTGGTGGCATGGACAGGGGCCAGGTCCTGCTGGAAGATGAAATCTGCATCTCCATACAGATCCTCAGCAGAAGGAATCATGAAGTCCTCTAAAACATTCTGGTAGACTGTTGCGGTGACCTTGGATTTAAGAAAGCAGAGTTTACCAACACCTGCACTGGACATTGCCCCCAAATCATGACTGACTGAGGATATTTCACACTGGACCTCAAGCAGTATGGGTTCTGTTCCTCACCCTTCTTCCCCCAAACCCTTGGACCTTGATTTCCGAATAAAAGGCACACTTTACTTCCATAGGAAAAGAGGACCGAGGAACCCGACAGTTGTAGCCCATCTCCTGGATGCGTCTGAATGTGGTGATTTTTGAAGCTGTGGCTCAAGCCTCATTTCACTCTTTCTGGATCTCTGCCAGATTCTGGAATCTTCTCTTTTTGATAATCTGCTGAAGTCCACGGTCATCTCTTTTTCTGGTGCATCTTCTCCTGCACATTTTGCTCTTCCACTAGACTTTCCGTTGATATGCTTGGACACAGCACTCTGTGAACAGCCAGCCTCCTTAGCTATGAACTTTTGTGGCTTACATTTTTCATTTACTTTTTATTTATCCAGGTAGTCTCATTGAGCCATGAGAACTCATTTTCAAGAGAGACCTGTTTAGGGAGCAGTTGGTAGGGGTTAAGGGCCTTGCTCAGGAGCCCAGAGTGGGGTGAATGAGGGTGAAGGGAGGTGTGGTGTTCCAACTTTTCCACCCACATTTTGATGTTGCTGGTACCGGGTGGTGAACATGCGACTTTCCGATCACAAGCCCATCTTCTAACCTCTGCGCCACCACTCCCCCATCCTATGGATAGAATTTAAGATTCTATTTAAGCAAAGTAACTGATTAATATTTAAATGATTGTAAGGTAGTAAAAACCCTTCAAAAAATGACACATACACATTTTATAACATGAAATTTAAAGCTTGATTAAAATAATAATAAAAGATAAAACATGAAATCCAACAGTATCAATGATGGTCTTCTGGCCAGTTGTTATGTCTGCAGTCTTCCCCATATTGAACCGAACTGAGATAATTGAACCAAACTGAAGCAATTTAATGACACCTGGGGAAACCTGTGCAGGTGCTTTGAGTTTAGTAGATGATTAGTGTCACACTCAGTTTAAAACATTCATGCCCTGCAACATTTGGGCTGATTTCTCCACAGTATTCTAATTTTTTTTATATCCTGTTTTCTTGGGTTTCATGAGCTGGAAGCCCAAATTATGTAAAAATAAACAAATAAATACCTG